TTCGTGACATAGAGAAAGTTCTTCAACTAGGTACCTAGTTCATGTGTGGGATTACAATATTCGACGGACATTCTATAAAATTAAATGTCTTACAAGTTTAATAAAAATAAAGACGAATTATGGTGATCACAGAAAAGATATTTATCAACAAACAATGAATATTGATAATTTTTTAATGTTATCACAAACGTAATAAGTACTGCAGCTAATGATAGCTCTCGATCTCAATCTACGGTATGCGCTTTGTAGGCTACCGTTGATATCTTTGTAAACCTCGATTTTCAGTTTGGCGCCATTCTGTGTTGAATTAAGTTGCCTCCTAAAGTCTAAAATGTTTATACGAAGTGTTGTTGAGTGGTATAAAGGGTGGCAGATTCACTGGTACAATTAGAAAGGGAATAGGTTCAAAAATATTTACATTTGTAAATGGTTTAAATAATTTTTTTTTTTTTGTAATTATTATTAATAGTTTTATTATTTTTTATGAATATGGATATTGACTAACTTACCATTCTGATCATAAACATATTTTATTTTAATTGTATAATAAATAATGTTTTATATTAATTTATGGTTTAGTAATAATATATATTATCATATTATACGTAATTCATAAATATTGAAATTACCTAGTTATATAATATGCTTTCTGGAGGTGTATTGACGTATTGTAGACTGTGGTAGATATCTAGTGTGTAAATAAATTAATAAAGTATTTCAAAACCTATAAGACAAAATAATAATTAAACATTTCGTAGTTGATTCCAAGTTTATTTTATGTAATCATAATATTACCATAATACCATTATATTATAATAAGTATAGCCATTATAGGTTGTATATTATTTTAGTATAAAGTGTGTAATGACCTGACAATAAAAATAAAAAATAAATATGTTCTATGGGTACTATGGTTAAACGTATGACGAAAATTATGAAAATTATATGGACAATACATAATTTAAGAAACATACTTATGTTACGAAATTCTAAAAAGAATATTTAGAAAAAAGTTATTACGTTTCAATTTAATGTACCTACTTCAATAAAGTGTTGATATATGATTAAAAAATGATATAGGTACATATATAAATTACTTGAGTTAAATAAATTATTTTACCATTAACATATTTCTAAAAATAAGATTTACATTTACAAACTGGCTATTCTAAATTGTTTAATATACTGATAAATATACTTAATAAATTGTACTTGTAATGCAATTGTCTATAAATTATAAATATACAATTTTTAAATATTGATAAGTACAAAAGTTAATTAATTTATATTCATTCTATTACACTTTGTATATCCTAATGAAGATACATGGGATTCCATTTACATGTTACCAAGACACATTTGCATTACCTATGACAGCTGTTACAACAAATAATGCTTTTTATAATAATATAGATATATATTAAATAAAGATATTACCGTCAGAAATAGTAACATAGTAATATATTAATTTAGTTGATCGCAGTAGTACAGACAACAGAGTAGACAAAGTACAGAGTGAATCCAAAATAAGTCTATACTCTATACTTCTATACAACGCACATATCGGGGCATCATTAATTATTATTAATAATTATAATAATTATTGTTATACTAGGTAGGTATTTGCTAGTGGCAATTCAGTTTATAATTTATCAATAACTCCAACAAATGTGGGTAGATAATGTCCCGGATAAGGAATATAATATAATCAATTCTTAGATTTTTTCCAAGACAAAAATAAATAGTATGAAATAAAATATATTTCTACGAAACCAATATACGCCTTACTTTTAAATAAATGGATTTTAAATTTTCAAATAATTTCGTTTTGCGTTATTTTTCGTTTAATGATATTCTATATATTTTGTTACTCGTTATACTTTGTTTTGAGGTATTTAATACTTTTTGATTATCGCTTTCCCCTTATAATTACGTTTACAAATTTCAACCTTTATTTTTCAAATATAACGTTATAATCATAACGTTATTACTTATTATAACGTTTGCAAGCCCCGAGTAAAACCAAAATTCCCCAAACCAAGTAATTATTATTTAAAAGGTTACGATTATTATTATTAAAATCGAAAGTGCGGGATTATTATTATTAACGGCAACAATAACAATATTATATAATATTTTCCCCCCGACCCCCTCACACAGCAGTGTGGAGGCTATCGCTGTCACCGTCGTCGCTGTCAAAGCCAGCATCGCACACAGAGCATTCTGGCCACTCAATATTATTATGTCACCATTGTATCATACGACGACACTGGCCAGCATCAGGGGCGTAATTAGGGGGGATTAGGGGGATAGTTCCCTTGTGAACAAATTTAATATCCGTATATTAATATATTATACGAGTGTGTATAAACAACATGGTATGATCGCAAAAGTCCAGATTTGGTTCAAGCCCGCGCACTTGCTTACCCGTATGGCCGTATCATCATATTGTCATTAAATTACAACTACTATATACACTACTCTACGTCACGTGCTTACCGAATGATCTGACCGTCAAAAAGTTACGATCATACCTTCTTTTTCCATCGTGTTATAAACGAAATTACGTATAATATACGGTAGTGTATCAAAGAATTATTGTATGTTTAAATTTGGGTCAAACGTGCGCCATTAGACGAATATTAGATTCTGAGTGGAACGATGAATGTATTGATTTTACAATGATGTGTGTTTTTTTTAATTATTTGTTATTTGTTATTTTTATTTTTTTTTGTGTCTGTCATCACGTTTTAGGACAGTAAAAGTGCTTGGATTTTCTTCAACAGTAGCTTTTCTGATAGTCCCTACATCTATATCTTGAAAATCCCCAGCTACAATATGACTGACAATCACATGCAAATGGTTGAACAAATATATTTTGAACGTTAATTAGTATCTATAATTAATATTTAATGACAAATACGTATATTATATTATATTATATTGTTAAGAAAATTATAAAAATATTTATAATGATCGATACGACAATTAATAATACAGTTAAAAAAATAGTATAAGTATATAAAAATATTATACAAAATATAGGTACCTACCTATATATTTTATGTAGGTATAATTCTGTAAAAATTGAATCCCCGAAATAAAATATTGCGTTTTCTGTGACATTTTGACGATAAGCGGTTCAGTATGTACCTTTGATAATATATAATATAAGGTATAAAGTTAGTTATGTATTTGGATTACACATAATATATTATCGTAATTTAAAACAAAATATTATTTATAATTTTTATTTTTTTTAACAAATAGAATATAATATACGTGTTTGTAATTAAATATTAATCATAGATACTAATTAACGTTTAAAAAATATTTGTTCAACCATTTGCATGAGGTTGTGAGTAATATATTGTAGTCTGGAGATTTATTTTCCTAGGGTCGGGGATTTTTTTTCCGGTGATTTTTTTTCCGGGATTCGTATTATAATATTATTATGTATGGTGTATCCGTGTATCGAATAGTATCGGGCTCAGACTTGCTGTGAACAAAGATAATATAGGTATAGCCGTATAGGTAGGTATAGTGTTAACAGATTGTATAATTTAATTATTTACTCAAAAATAAAAATTATACTTATGAAATATACACATAATATTGAACATGTATAAACGCGTAATCGTACAAGCTATAAAATCTAAAGAGGGTCAAAATAATGTATATATTTTCCAAAAAAAGGCAAAGACATGAATAATTCCTATACTGTTCGGGTTCAAAGTAGCAACCCTAGCGTACGCAGCGCAGCCTGTGGCCGTTTGATCTTGCGACTCATTTCGGTACGTTTTTTTCACGTGGGCGGCCGTACGAGCACAGATTATATAATCTGTGGTACGAGTTTGGTCTCCTTATTCTACTCTTCTCTTCGTGCAATATAGTGTAAAATTATTGTTGTGGTGACACTGTAGAGTATTGCTGCTGTCATGGCACAGAACAATGGTCATAGATACAGGGCCGTATTTGGACAATTTCCGCCCCGGGGCAACATATTTCCGCTGCCCCTCCCCCCTTCCCCCACCAAAAAAAAAACAAAACTATTTCTTAAAAAGTAAGGTGTAACTATTTTGTTGTATACAATTTTGGTACAAAGAAAATTGAACCAACTACATAAACATAATAATACATTAATATGCTACTGTCACTTATATAATATTGGCGAATTAAATGTATATACAATATACACTATAATATTAAATACATATTATGTGCGTAATTTATTATTGTAAAATGTATTATGAATAATATTATATTATGAACATTAAACAAAATTCCTTCTTTTATAGTTATTTATTTATATAGGAAAACCAATGTCAATTAAAGAAAATAGTTTTAAGTAAATAATGTATCTATCATTTATTATTTGTATTTGGTATTAATAATTATAATCTAAATAGGTATATAAATAACAATATATAAAAATATATAAAAAAAATGTATAACTTTCTCCTGGACTGAAGGTTTGAGAATAAAATTAAGGTGGGTAAGTGGATGTCGCTCTGCTGTACTGTAGGTCACAAGTGGGGCACTGTATAATGGATGGTATTCAATTTGAATGCAATGATATAATATCATTGTATAAGAAAAACGATTCTGAGCGAAGACGGTATGTCAGTCTAGGTTTAAGTCGTTTAAGACAAATTATATACATATCTATGGTATTAAAAAAAAAATTGACCTATAATAAATTCCAAATTAATCATATCACATTATCACAATATCCATTAGGTACTTATAACATGTTATACATCTACATCAATAACAAACCCTGATACTATCATAGATATATAATAGTACACTCAGGGACGGATCCAGGGGGGGGCCTAGGGGCCTAGGCCCCCCCCAGACATATTTAAGACATATTTTTTTATAATTCTACAGATCCTGATATTACTATATTTAAAATCACATAATATATTATATTATTATGTCTGATAATATAATATATTATTTAATATTATTATACGTAATATCTACTATCTTAGTTCATGGTGGACAGTGATAAAAATTCTTCAACTAAAGCAAATACACTTGAATTATCTATATGTAATAGTTCATTTATTATTTCACTTTATTCACTCATTGATGTACTCAAATGGACACTTCCAGTTAGTCGTATACTGCAATCTACATCACTTGATTTGGAAAGTGCAAATTTTGTTATTCAAGGAGTTAAAGAAGTGTTAAACGAGAACCGAACCAATTCACATAATGTTTTTAAAGATATTTTTATTGAATCTTCTAATATGGCTAAAAGTTTAGGATTTGATATACAATTACCACGTATATCCAAAACACAGATGAATAGAGCCAATTACCCTACTCAAAATGCAGAGGATTATTATCGCTGGTCAATTTATATACCATTATTAGAAGGTGTTCTTGGGGATATGAATACTCGTTTCTGTCCAGATGTAATTGGTGCATTTAATTTAAGACTGTTAATCCCTAAAGTATTTCGTGGAAAAGACAACAATACTTTGAGTGTAAAAATACTTGAAGCAAGTAAAAGATTTTTTCCTCTGCTATCATCGGGATCAAATAATACAGCTGATTTACACTTACAAGGTATTTTTTTAAAAATGAATTTGTTAAAATATGTTTAATTCATTTATAATCAATAAAAAAATTCTTATTATTTCAGGTGAACTTGAACTTTGGTTTAAGTTTTGGAATAAAAATATTGGTGTGTGGAGTGAAGATCAATTTCCATCAACAGCAATAGATGCTTTGGGTAAATGTGATCCAAATATATTTCCTACAGTATATCAGCTTCTAAGTATAGTTTGTACGTTACCAATGAGTGTAGCTACAGCAGAACGAAGTTTCTCTACCTTGAGACGGGTAAAAACCTGGCTACGCTCTAGAATGCAGGAGGATCGCCTAACTTCGTTATGTTTACTAAATGTTCATAGGGAAGTTGAAATAAGCATTGACCAAATAATTGACAGATTTGGAAAAAGTGACAATGTAAAAAGGCGTTTAGACTTTGTTATTTAATATATAAATAATATTTTATTTATCACATTGATGCCTACTATTATAACAAAATTGTTAAATTAAGAATAAAGGATAATAATTTATTATAATTGTATTTTTGTTGTAAAAAAATTGTTGGCCCCCCACCAGATCTTTGCTCTGGATCCGTGCCTGAGTACACTTTAGAAGTTTCAAGTAGGTACCCACGAATAATATTATATAATCACAACAAAATAACTAGGTTTTTTAATATGTAATTTCGTCCAAATTTGAACATAAAATGACTATAAAAATAAATTGTGATTGTATATTTTTTAGATTTTTCGGTAAGAGAATTAACTACTTACGTGGAATCTTGTTTTAAATTTTCAATCCTTAGCTATAAAAACTGAACATTTAATAATTTATTAATTACGATGATTAATAATTTTCGAGATTTTGAAAAATTCTGTCAACATTTGAAATAAATGCTTATAAAAAAAAATTGTGCCTATGTATTTTTAATATTTTTCAACTGATATTGTAACAATATATCAGGAGCCTTGTATTAAATTTTTACACTTTTTGGCCAAACAGATAAAACTTAATTGATAATCATAGAAAAAAAGACTAAAAAAATTGAAAAATGAAAATATCCGTAAACAGCTCAAAAAGAGTCAAAATATTTTAAAAATTGTATGGTGTATAGGAAATGCTAATATAAACATTCAGTGAAATTTTCATGTATCTATAGTTATTCGTTTATGAATAACAACAAAATAAGGAAATCGCTACATGAGAAATCGAGTGAACATCCAATGTTGTAAAAATTTGAATTTCAAACGCTCATAAAAGTTTAATTTTACTGTCCGGTAGAGATTTTTTTATTGATAAAGGTAGACAAACTTATAAGTAATCTTGTATTACATTTTCAAATCTTAGATTTAAAAAGAAAAATTTTTGCGAATTCTTAACTCAAAATAATTTGCTAATTTTTGTGACTTTTGCATTCAACATTTCCTAACGATGAGTCGACGCCGTAAAAAAACAGTATACTGCTTGTAACAGTTCAAAAAAATGACAGGCTTCTTCACAACAATTTGCTGCACAACTACCAACCAAATTTAGAGAGTGTGCAGCACACGGAGAATACTCAGCTAGTGGATTAACCTCCTTGATTCTTGCCGTTCTTACGTTCAAAAACCCAATCTATTTATAAATAGTATGTTAATAATATAATTTATATCATTTTCCGACAAACTGATGTTAACAATATTATACCTTTTCGATCTATAATAATGTTTTTAATAGAAGGTTAAAATTATGTAAATTTATTTATTTTTTCTCAACAGTTAATATACAATAATAATTTATCAACATAAATTTGCCGCCCCCTAAATGGACTAAACAATTTGCCGCCCCGGGCAACAAGGTACACTTGCCCCCCTCAAATACGGCCCTGCATAGATAATATTATCTATGGATGCTGTAGCGACTAGCGATAGTATTCAGGCAGTGACGTGGACTTTTTGTGTAATATAATATCCTTTTTTAACGGTTTTTTTTTCTCCAGTCCAGGCGGCAGGTGGTCCATCGTCCATGTACAGACCCTAAAGCCAGAGTTCAACGTTGTTCGACCAACATCCGATATATTATAATATTACTATATCGTGGTATAATTGGCCAATTAATCGAAGATAATATTTGTTATTAAACAATTTCTCATTACTCTTAGATAAAACATTTTTGTCATGGAACACGATGGCAAGCATGAAGGTCCGGCCGAAGAAAACAGTAGTGAGATTGTGATTAATGATCCAGACACTCAGTTATGCACAATCGAGAAGCTAAGTAATGGCCCAAAGGATTCCAAACCAGACAACGGCAGTGACAGCATTTCTCCATTATCTGGTGATGTAACTAAACACTCAGTTAATGAAAATGATGATGGCTCAACTACAAATTGTGGTAAGAGGAACATCAATAATTGCGATGCACCAACGGCTGTTACTGAAAACGACGAAATTGCAAACGCTAAGATAATTTCAGCGTTTATCCGGAAAGTATTGCACAATGAAGTACCCGATGATAAGACGGAATGGCCATTATGTTTGTTGGTAAGAATTCATTTTATCAAAATATATTTGTGGGGACATGTAATTGATTTATTGATGTTTGATTCTAGATTCATTCCAATCGGTCGACCGAAATTTCTCAACAAGAGCTTCAAAACATGATCTTCAATAAATTTGCTGAAATCATGGCTACACATGGCAAATCAGATATTACCAGACAAATGACTAATATGGCTATTTGTAAAGAACAACAACGCTCCTATTATAAAAAATTCAAAACTCTATTAAGCTATGTAAATAACGTAAGTTCTGATCTGGAGCTCTTGAATAGAGAGCCTGACAATGAAGTTAAACATGTTAGGCATGCTGGAACGAATGTGAATATGCCTACAATAAATAAAAATTTGTGTCCACGCCGGTACTAAACTAAGGAACCACCGACTACTAAATTGTAATAAGTTAATTTTTATAACAATTTTTGCTATACATTTTAATTATATTATTATATGACCAAGATTCAGTTTCTCTTTTGTCATTTTTGAGAAGTAACCATATTAATAAAAAATTTTTATACATAGTTTGTGCATTGTTTTTTAATTCTGATAATTTACCATCAAATAATAAACATTAAATGGTTTCATAATAATTTAAAAATATAATAATTGTACATGAAATACAAATTCTTATTATGTAGAATTTATTGATATTATTTTTAAAAAAGCAGTTTGAAATACAAAAAATCGCGTAGTACAAATAGCTAGTATAATTATTTAAAGAGAAATTTGAATGCAATGCTAAGTCATCCCAGATTCTGAGCAGTTGAGTTTACTGTATAATTGTATTAAGACCATTAGTATGAAATACATTTTAAATATAATAAATTAAATTTATGATTTATGTAGTATATTTACAAAGAATTTTATAATACAATATAAGTAATTAAGCTTTACACCTTATGTTACAAATTCCCTTATATTTTTCATGGTTAAACACAGTTAATCTCAAGAACTTTTTCAAATTTTCAAAAATGTTTTTTTTTTTTTATTGATCCTTAAGCCCGGCTTTTATGGCCATTAGCTGTTTGTAGGGTTGTATTGTGGTGGTGGTAGGGTTTGGAATGGTAGGTTTTTACACGTGAGTGTTTGTGTTTTGGCAGAATTTTTGATTGGGCACCCATAGGTATCTGCCTTGCCCGGGTGGGGGATGCAGCACTTGCTCTCCGGACACCGTGACTTACCCGAAGAAAAATGCCGCCCGGTGACCAAGGATCGAACCCGAAGTTGGACCGCTCGGCCACCTCGTCCCCCAAAAATGTATATTTACTGTTCATGAGAAAAAATGTACATCTAGATATTATTATACATTGTTGATAATCTTTTAAGGGCACCATCACAAAACATAGGTTTTTTTAATTTGATAGAATTTTAAGACAAAATGTATAGTTCGACATTTCTACATGCATTTTTCATAACTTATTTATAACTCGAGTTATGAGGAATTGAAAAGAACACAAGTCATTAGACAGGACTTGCAGTAATTGCCTATGTATTCGACTTCACATGTAAAAGCCGCTTGTATTATAATAAAGTTATAATTTTTATATTATAATCACAATAATCACTTAAAGTATTTTTATCTAAAGTGAACCGGTTTAATTTAATTTTAGTACATTTTTCAATAACTTTAGCTATGACAGATAATTAAGTAATTGGTCAATAATTGTAGGTACAACTTTCTCGCATCACCTATTTTATAAATAGGGCTTATAACTACTATTTAATATATTTGTAGGAATACACCTTTTAAAAACTTAAACTAATTAAATGAGTAAGTGGTTTTACAACATAATGTGAATTGTGTAATAATATATTTGAATAGATGGAATCAAATCATGATGATGTACCTTGTCTTAGTGTATTAATTATTAGCAATAGGTACCTCTTTATGTGTACATTTTATAAATTTCAATTTTTTCTCAGTTATATTTTCAATATTGTTTTTGTAATTTTTTGAATTATCGACTCTACTTGTCATTTTGTTACCTATTGTTTTGATTTTAATTTGCTATTTTTCACCCACGGCTACAAAATAATTATTAAATATTTAGCACATTTATGTGTATCTGTATTTATATCGATCAATTCATTTTTGTGAGTCATTTGTGAAGTTGGTTTTTTGTTTTTATAATATTATTTTTATTAATTATCTCTTCAATTATATTCCTTAGTAGTTTAGTATTGTTAATATCACTGACTTTATTTCTATAGTACTCATATTTTGAATAATATCTTATCTTGTTTTTTTTTGATCTGTTTGGAATCCAAACAAAACAAATCTTTCATCAATTAAATGGAATTGATCCAAATTGCGTTTTAGTATAATACATTTCAAGCTTGTATTGGGGTTTTAATATTAATAAGGTATTTAATATTTTTTACCTATTATTAATGGAATAGTATAAACATCACTTTTTGATGAACTTGGCCAACTGAAGTTGCTGTTTTAGAGATAATGTATTATACAATATTTTAGTAGAAGTAATTGAGTTGACAGTATTATTTAATTCCTTAGGTTTCGCTTTACTTTTGAAGTAGTTGTAGTAGTAAATTTAAGTAGTTGGTTATCTGGATTTGTGGTATGCTTTAACTAGTCTATTTTTGAAAACTTCAGGTATTTCTGGGTATTGTTTTGTGATCCTAAATTTGAACCAAATTCATTAACAAAAAGAAAACCAGAATATTATATACCTATCTATTTCGCTCATATGATTAGTACTGATACTCCAAAGTAGTATCCTCATATTCACCAGGAGCATCCTGTACCTCAACAGAATTTAACTTGAACAAAATAAATATTTTCTTCAAACATTCAACAGTTTAAACACAATTAATATTGTTAAGTTTTTTAAATATATATAGTAGCGTTTCATTATTATTTAAAATTTTTAATTCTTTTAGTTCACTCATC